GGGGTTACTGTTTCATCTTAATATTTATATCATCTGGTTTATTATACATCTGGGGTTACTGTTTCATCGTAATATTTATATCACCTGGTATATTATACATCTGGGGTTACTGTTTCATCTTAATATTTATATCATCTGGTTTATTATACATCTGGGGTTGCTGTTTCATTGCAATATTTATATATCATATGGTTTATTATATATCCGGGGTTACTGTTTCATCTTAATATTTATATCATTTGGTATATTATACATCTGGGGTTACTGTTTCATCTTAATATTTATATCATCTATTTTATTATACATCTGGGGTTACTGTTTCATTGCAATATTTATATCATCTATTTTATTAAACATTTGGGGTTACTGTTTCATTGCAATATCTACATCATCTGATTTATTATATATCCGGAGTTAATGTTTCATCGTAATATTTATATCATCTGGTTTATTATACGTCTGGGGTTACTGTTTCATCGTAATATTTATATCATCTGGTTTATTATACATCTGGGGTTACTGTTTCATTGCAATATTTATATCATCTGGTATATTATACATCTGGGGTTACTGTTTCATTGCAATATTTATATCATCTGGTTTATTATACATCTGGGGTTACTGTTTCATTGCAATATTTATATCATCTATTTTATTATACATCTGGGGTTACTGTTTCATCGTAATATTTATATCATCTGATTTATTATACGTCTGGGGTTAGTGTTGCGTTGTAATATTTATATCATCTGGTATATTGTACAGCTGGGGTTACTGTTTCATCGCAATATTATATCATCTGGTTTATTATACATCCGGGTTTAATGTTTCATTGCAATATTTATATCTCCTGTTATATTGTACAGCTGGGGTTACTGTTTCATCGTAATATTTATATCATCTGGTTTATTATACAGCTGGGGTTACTGTTTCATTGCAATATTTATATCACCTGTTATGTTGTACAGCTGGGGCTACTGTTTCATTGTAATATTTAGTGCACATGATTATTTTTTCGCTTCCTGAAATACTCGTTTTTAATCTACTAAACATATGTGCTTTTTAGTTGTTTTACCTGAAATGTTTGTTTTATAGTATTTCTGATAAGTAGCTTACCAGGGTGGTTATGTCACAACTTGTACTAATGTGGCCTGGTGGTTAGGGTGCTGGATTCGCAACCTGTGAGTCGCGAGTTTGAATCCCCATCACTGAGCATGCTTGCCCTTTATGACGTCGACGCGTTATAATGTGTTGGTCAATCCCACTATTCGTTGGTAAAATAGTAGCCCAAGAGTTAGCGGTGGGTGGTGTTTACTAGCTGCTTTCCTTCTGGTCTGTCACTGCTAAATTAAGGCAGGCTAGCGGTAGGTAGCCCTCGAATAGCTTTGCGCGAATTTCACACAAACAGGACTACCATGAAAGGATTATTTCAAATATCGTTGCCTGCTGCTAGTGTAATAATTAGTATTGTAGGAGCTGATGAGAAATATATATTTTTTGTTAATTTATTATTTTTTGAGTTAAGTCATATGAAGTATATCTGCCTGTGGCGCCACCTTTTAACAGTGTTTCTAACCTTTGGGATGAAAAAAGAAAAGTTTATACTCTAAGGCTGAAGTTAAAAGAAAGCTTGTTTATTTTATCGCACAGTAGGCTGTCTGCACGATGTCTACCATGGGGAATCGACCCCCTGATTCTAGTGGTATAAAGTCGTAAACTGACCGTTGATTCACGGAGTGAAAAAAATTAAAAGACAAGTTATAGAAAATATTTTTTTTTGCTGTGTAATTGTCGTTCCTGTTCACCAGAAATATTATTTTTGTTCATGAATTCGTAATTAGTTTTGAAAAAAACTGGATACAAGCAGGAGTCGAACCTACATATTGGCTTACAAGATATAAATCCTAAAAAAAATTAAAAACGTAAGGTTGATTATCCTCACTTTAACTGCTAAAACTAAGGAGTAACGTATTGGGAGATAAAAATAATTTTAAACCTCAACAATTCTAAACCATTTTAATGTTAACAGTATCATTATCTGAAAGAAATGATTGAATATGAAGAAAGAGCTTAAGATCTGATTCGCTGTTAAACAAAACTGACGCTATTTTAGTTCGTAAGTCAAAACCAACATTATTCACCGACATATTTCACACAGTTGCTAGTCTTCATTCTGCAAAAATAGAAATTATAATTAGCTTGTTATTCACGCCAAAATATTTCATAAATTTTTGTAGTCATATAATCATTGCTGAATTTGTTTTTACAGTGGTATACTTACTTCGAGTTTACAGGGACAGTTCCTAACGGAACTTGACCTGATAACGGTAGAACTGCTATAATGATTTTCTTAGCCTTTTGAAGTCTCCTGGTAAGACAAAATCAACGCACGTTGTATACCCTATTCCTATAGAAATAAAACAGGCCTAACAAACTTATATTAATAGAACCAATGCATGTTGTATACCCTATTCCTATAGAAATAAAACAGGCCTAACAAACTTATATTAATAGAACCAATGCATGTTGTATACCCTATTCCTATAGAAATAAAACAGGCCTAACAAACTTATGTTAACAGAACCAATGCATGTTGTATACCCTATTCCTATAGAAATAACAAAGGCCTAACTAGCTTATATTATCAGAATCAATACTCACTGGACACTGATCAGAGATGACTGGACACATTATGCTGATATAATCAGAGATGACTAGACACCATTTACTGATAGAATCAGAGATGGCTGGACACCTTATACTGATACAAACAGTGCTGGCTGGAACTTATAATGACAGAATCAGTGCTGGCTGGACCCTTATCCTGACAGAATCAGTGTTGGCTGGACACCTTATACTGATACAAACAGTGCTGGCTGGACCCTTATAATGACAGAATCAGTGCTGGCTGGACACCTTATAATGACAGAATCAGTGCTGGCTGGACCCTTATATTAACAGAATCAGTGCTGGCTGGACACCTTATAATGACAGAATCAGTGTTGGCTGGACCCTTATCCTGACAGAATCAGTGTTGGCTGGACACCTTATACTGACAGAATTAATGCTGGCTGGACACCTTATACTGACAGAATCAGTGCTGGCTGGACACATTATAATGGTAGAATCAGTGCTGGCTGGACACATGATAGAATTAATCTAGGCTCTGCACTATATATCACAATCAGTATACGATTATTTCTTTAGACAACTACCACACCCAGTTTTCATTTTACCTAACAAAATACGTTCTCAGTTTGTGGTCCGATCGGTTTTCACTAACTTAGAAACCATTCTAGCACGGTCTGAGTTGTTATAATGTTTTCCTGTGGTAGATGTCTACACGGTTTATAAGTAAGTTTTGCATGAAAGGTTTTTATCCAAAACGCTGGCTACTTTGTGATGTGAGACGATAAAGAAAGAAAGAATGGCTGTATAAACTTTATCGAACTTCCACCCTGGCGGTTTTGTCCATATCTATGCGTTATCGTAAATAATTTTGTATAAGATGTTTTTGAGTATTATTTTATGTTGTCAATAAATAAATGTTTTGAATCGTTCTTAAGTCTCTGGTAATTTCGTTTTATTGAGAGAAAAATGTTTGTGTTATATGCTATATTCAGAATACATCTAACACGTTTCTTTGGGCTTTAAATACGAGTCGGCCGGAAAATCAAAGGAATATTGAAGTCTTTCGTATTTCATATCATAGAGATGAAATCAACACTATTGCCATAGTGCTTTCACAGTGTGAAGAATTTATGAACGTGATATAAAGTATCCCATATACTGAACTCTCTTCCTTCACTATATTTATGAGAGTAATCTGGAAAATTCCGTATGCTGAAGTATAGTAACGTTGTGATAAGTGAAACGAACTTTGCATTATTTTAAAGGCAAGAAAAGTAATACTTCATAATAGGTTAGAATTTGGATGAATAATGGGACTTTAATTTAACTTCTAAGCTCATTGGTGATAAATTTAACCATTTAAAAGAAAAACAAATATATATAATATATATTGTAACAAAGGAGTCGTTTTTTGTCTTGACAGTCCAGATGAGGGAGATATGGACAAATACTATTACGTCGTCAAGAAATTAATGTTGCTTTTTTTTAAATGAAAAACCCGAACAACTTATATATCAAAATATCTATTAAATGAAATAG